TTTTTTTGTGCATGAATACATATTATATGAAAACAAATACTTAAGGTAAATATATTTTTTTTAAAAAAAACAAAAAAACAAAAAATATATATAAACTTAAGGATTTACTTATGAATCTAATATCATAATAGTCTATTAAGCTAAAGTTACCTCTGCATAACAATTCTACACAAATAAGAACTACAATATCAAGTTTTTAGCAATCCATGAACAATATAGAGAGCAAAAAGGAACTTAGAAGGACCAAATTTGTTTTTACTAACTATTGTGTGCCAGAATGCACAGATCTGGATCATCGGATGGAATATAATCAAATGTCATGATTTGAGGGTCTATGATAGTAGAATAGGATAGCATGTACCATATAATCACACAAATTTCAGCATAAGGACATTTTAGTCAATTAACCTATATTAAAAAAGGAAATTTTCGGATTTTTAGGGATGATTAATTCCTTTATTTTTTAAAAATCTGAATATTTTAAATTAATTCAAATTTAAAAATCCGATTTTATTCTGTCAGAATGATAAAGTGTCAACCATAAACTAGTGAATGTATTTTTCGATTTTATTCTGTCAGAATGGCAGAATGCCAAACATAAACTAGTAAATACATTCTGAAAGAATACACAAAATCGATTCTTAAACTAATAATATATCAAAAAATTACATTGTATGATTGTGATTCATTGAATAATAACAAACATTCTGAAAGAATAAACAAGTATAATTCTTAAAAAATAACAACATTCTTAAAAAATGAGTTTGATCATTCTTTAATTCATTCTTCAACCCTTTCCCATCAGGTCTTCAAGCCATTCTTGAAGCCTTTTCTACCAGAAATTCATTGCCAAGTAATTTGTAGTGATACACTTGTAAAACCTGCACATTAAACATACAAATAATTAACTACAATTCTATCAGAATACAACAAATAATATTCTTACAAAATAAACTATTCTGCAAGAATATTATTTAAGAATTTGTATTATCAAGAATATATCCAACAAACAAAATAAGGATCAAGCATCAACCTATTCTGATAGAATAAGGAACTAACATTCCTCGGGTTCCATGTGTTTCTTCTCGATATGTTCAATGTATTAAACTACAAATTCTGACAGAATAAGGAACTAGCATCAACCTATTGTTATGAAAATGGCATCCAACCCAATCTAAATTGAGTTATATAGTTCTGAAAAGAATAAGGAACAAAGTGAAGTAAAAACATTAATGATTTTTAACTGTTTTTTCATTGAGACATTTTATCAAACACGTGGTGTGCTTCTTCAGTTTCTTCAAAAAAATTAGTGATAGTCTTACCAATTTTGGCAATCAAAATTGGGTTTTGAAATCTGGAAAACATAATTCACAATCAAAAGTTAAGTACTTTTGAGATTATGTGCACCAGTATCAGATGTCAATTTGAATTACTAGCCTAAAAAAAATTAAAAGTACCTGGGATTGAAATTATTTGGTGGCGACGCCTTTTTCATCTTCAGTTACAATGGTTTAGTCTTGTGAAGAAGCGGAGCAGTAGAAGAAGCCAACCGTGAGACATAATTGAACCATTTTATAAGTAGCGGAGGAGACGAGGAAGAGGCTACACGCGTTTTCCATCAATTCTTGTGACAAGTTGCCTCCACCACCATCATCACCGATGATGATTGATCGATTAAAGAAAAAAATGAGTTTATGAAAAGAAAGAAAATCTTAATAATTGATTGGAGAAGGATAATTACCTGGTAATGAGTTTTGAATCTTGATGATTGATTGTAGAAGAAGAAGCAGAAGACGTGGATTAGAAACGATGATGAGTTAGGTTTAAGGCTAGGGTTAAGTAGTTGGTCAAAGAGATTTTTATGGTAATTCTCATTAATTAAGGGATTTTATTTTAATTATCATTCTAAAGTTACATAATTACCCTTATTCAATTTTTTTAATTATTTAATTATTCCTCAATTCCTATTGGTGCATTCAATCACACAATAGTTGTCAAAAACATTTGAACCTAACTCTCTCTCTCTCTCTCTCTCTCTATGTATATATATATATATATATATATATATATATATATATATATATATATATATATATATATATATATATATATATATACACTTCTAAAAACTATACTATAAAATACATATTTATACTTCTAAAAATTTAAGTTTTAAATGTATGACCAAGCAAGAAAACCCATATATATAAAGAAATAATATTTAAAAAAACATAAATACAATATTTTATTAAATATATTCTTTTTTGTATATAAATATGTTTTTTTGTGCATGAATACATATTATATGAAAAAAAATACTTAAGGTAAATATATTTAAAAAAAAAACAAAAAAAAAATTATAAACTTAAGGATTTACTTATGAATCTAATATCATAATAGTCTATTAAGCTAAAGTTACCTCTGCATAACAATTCTACACAAATAAGAACTACTACAATATCAAGTTTTTAGCAATCCATGAACAATATAGAGAGCAAAAAGGAACTTAGAAGGACCAAATTTGTAATATATCCATGCACATATTTAACCCTAAATAAATTGGTGTTAACTCAGGAACATAGAGTTTCGCCCCACTTTTCAAAAATCCGTGTTCCAGTTATATCAAAAAAAAAAAAAAAAAAAAGGATATCTATATTTATACGAATAAAAAGACAGATTGTTAAACATACAATATAAGCTGCCTAATTTTACTATAGCACATAGATATAAAAATTAAAAAAAGTAGAACTCCGAAATGTTTAATAAGGTGTTAAGCTGTCTCCAAACATAGAATCTGAGCGTGATCTGGGGTTTTGTTGTTGAAAAGATTCCATTCTTGAATCCAATATTGATAACTGCGATTTGACCCAAGATGGATTGTACCTTCCTTCAACCCATAAAGCTTCACCCGTATCTTTGTGTTTGAAATCCGGGTACTTTGGACTCCTCTGTTATTATGTTAAACCATTTTTATCAATTTCTATTTTAAAGGCATAGTAAGTTATATGACTATGATGTATGTATGTATGTATACCTTATTTTTTCTATTATCCCACCATTCAGAAGGATTTGCAAAGAAAGCTTGCCATAGTTCCTCAGTTGATGCTGACCCATTTGCAGCAGCATACATCTTTTGCTTTTTACCTGTTCAAGTGCACAAAAATCGTTCTCAATCAAATTTTACATTTTGTTACAATTATTTTAATTAACTACTAGAAAGCAACAACACTGATAACATTGATTAAAATCTGTTACGCTTTTGTATTTTGTCGTTATTGAAGGGTACTCTACACATTTGACAGATAATCAAAAAAGCAATACTATCACTATATTTTTATTTTGCGATAATTACTAGGAACCACTAAAAAGTTTTAAAGAAAAATGATTTACTTCTGTTAGGTTTTAATACATTGTGTTTAATGATTTAGTAGGTATGTTGGGTTTTCATATTGAATCATTATTAAAGGGTACTTTATATATATGAAAAGAAGAAAACACATGTTCACAAGATGCCAATTCAGGCTTTCAGGGCATGAAGTGCGTTTAAAATGTGAAATTGAAATGTTTGACTATTAATCAAATGTCTAAAATACCCTTCCATACCTTTGAAACAGGATAAGTCTGCAACCCAAAAAACCAATGATCTCAGTATTTTCACTATTTTGTGATAATTACTAGGAAGCACCGATAATGTTGATTTAGGTCTGTTAAGTTTTCATATTCTGCCCTTATTAAAGGGTACTATAAATATTTGACAAATAATCAAACACTTTCTAAAACAAGTTCCACATTCAGAAGAATAAAATGACCGACTATTTGTCAATTACCTAAAATACCCCTTAATAGCTTCAAAACAGAGAAACATTCTCGACTTAAAAGCTATGCTATCAGTATTTTCACTACCTTGTATTAATCACTTGAAAACACTGATAACATGGATTAAGGTGTATGTTAGGTTTTCACATTTTGTCATATTATAAAAGAATATTTCAGATAATTGACTAATAATCAAACACTTTCTGAAACTATTTGTTCATTCACACCAAGCAAATTTCAAAGCATGAAAATAGCACAAATAATCAAACAGTTTCTGAAATATAAGTGAATGCCTGTTGTCATGGAGCTCGAGGTTGAGTTGGAGTTGGAGTTGGAGTTGTAGTTGAAGTCTTGGTCATTAGAAGGTGGGCTTCTTTCAACAAAGTTCAGCTGTTGAACAACTACCTGCCACCATTTACAAGTATTTAGAACAGAGGAACATATGATACGTTAAAGCATAGAACAAAAAAGGTTAGCAAGAATGACAATAGTTAGTGAATTACAATGTAACCTTATAGTAGGTTTGCTGTTTCCCATCATCACTATCAACTGTATCTGAAACAATACGACCCGATACGTATATTTGTTGTCCCTTCTCCACATGTTGAGAAGCAATATGTGCCAAATCATCCCAAAACGTTAAATTGATCCTGAAAACGACCATAAACGTTCAAAATCTGGATCATTGTAGCTAAACCCCCAAAAACAAAGCACGAATCAAGCACTGATTTCAAACGATTCCGTCCTACCAACATAGTTCAAAATTGAACAATAAACCAATGATATATCAATGAATTTATCCAGTAAATTTACCAGGTAGTATCGGTAGACGATTTTTTGACGGCAAGGCGACACCAAGCGAGGACTTTACCGGAGCTAAGTTGCTTAAATTCAACCGGAGTACCAACGTTTCCGATAAGTTGAACGGAGTTACACAACTCCTTCGTCCATGGAACTTCAGTAGGTCTAGGGTACTGATGACTACTTCCCAGTAAACCCTTCTCGTACTCATAGTGACCATTGTTGGCGTTACCTCCGCTGTGGTTGTAATCGAACGATGACTTTACATAGCCACTATTTGTGCTAAGTGATAATCTGCTGCTAAATTTTTTGTCTAATGATGAAGATGATGTAGAGCATGTGAACATACGAGTAATAGGTCGAGTATGATTGAGGGTATTGGGTAGATGTGTACTGGGAACCCATTGAGGGTTATTTGTGAAGAAATTTTGAAGTATTGTCGCCATTTTTGCGCTCTTGGTGATTCTACTTCTGAGAGATAAGGAGAGGGTGGACTGTGTAGGACTTCTGGGCTAACATTAGTCTTTTAGGGTTCGCCTTAGACACAAGGAACCCAGGTTGCAGGGCGTATGACCCACTTGGATCGCTGTAGTGATTAGTGAATTAGGGAAACCGTCATACGGTTGATATACGGGACATTTATAAAACTAATCATATTTCAAGTTGCTATTAAAGAAAACGTATTACGTGATTATGTAATCATCAAAAAAAAACATATATTTCATATAGCAGCAGTGAAAATATTATTTTTCTCGGTGGTTGCTTCATACAAAGGTGATACCACGAAAACATCCAAGGATAAAGATGCATATAAACCATCATCTACATGGAGTATCATATTTTCAGAACCTCTACTTATAGTGGATATTGACAATCGTCATTAAGAATATTAAATATTTCCCTAAAGGAACATTGTATGGGAGAGACGGGTTGAAAGTTCAATATATTTTAGATGTTCTTTGTGAAGAATGGTCATTTATAATTAAAGGATTACATGTGGTTAATCTATTACATGTGGTTAATCCTGGGTGTTGTTAAAGACACCCAATTTAAAGATAAATACCACTCAAAATCAATACCATATTTAGGACTTGAGGTAATGATTCCATATTAACATAATTCTTATATATTTATTTTATTTAGGAATGGTATTTAACGGAAACTATCATTTTATCAAATACTCCTTATTAAATAACTTTTATATCATTATCCCTTGTAATTATAACTTATTTTCAATTTATATCCTTTTTTATTTTGAAAAATTACTTTCAACCCTTGTTATTCAATTATATATATATATATATATATATATATATATATATATATATATATATATATGGTTAGGTTATTTTGTTTTTAGTAACTATTGTGTGCCAAAATGTACAGATCTGGACCATCGGATGGAATATAATCAAAGGTCATGATCTGAGGGTCTATGATAGTAGAATAGGATAACATATACCATATAATCACACAAATTTCAGCATAAGGGCATTTTAGTCAATTAACCTATATTAAAAAAGGAAATTTTTGGATTTTTATGGATAATTAATTCCTTTATTTTTAAAAATCTGAATATTTTAAATTAATTCAAAATTAAAAATTCAATTTTATTCTGTCAGAATGTTAGAATGTTAACCATAAACTAGTAAATATATTTTTCGATTTTATTCTGTCAGAATGACAAAATGTCAACCATATACTAGTAAATACATTCTAAAAAGAATATACAAAATCAATTCTTGAACTAACAATATACCAAATAATTACATTGTATGATTGTGACTCATTGAATAATAACAACATTCTAAAAGAAAAAAAAAAAAAAAAAAAAAAAAAAAAAAAACATCACAATCTAACAAAAACACTAATATATTCTGATAGAATATTATTTTTTAGCAACATTTTATACATTGTAACATAACACATTCTGGTATAATACACTCTCATTCTCTATGTTTTCTTCCTTCTCCGCATCAATGTTAGTCTCTTCAAAACCTAAATCCACAAAGAAAACATAATCAAGATTCAAAAATTAAAAAATTCAATGCATTCTAAGAGAATAAAAACTATAAATTCTGACATAATGTACTTGTTGTTGACAATTATTCTCAAACATTCTAAGAGAATACATTTATATAAAATAAATTCTAATAGAATACATTACATAATTCAAGAGCTATGATTGTATACAGAATTCAATAGTTGTGATTGAATCATCAACACACATGCATTCATTCCCAGTCATGAATTCAAGAAACAAACACACATTTACATTATCGATTTAGAAATATGAACACCAATTTTGACTTTTTCGAAACAAAATCCAACTTACGACTGTGAAGTGCAAGTTGTATCAGAAATTTCTTCAATCGAACAAAAATAAACCATTGAAGACATCGAATTTAATAAGATGATGAACACAATCTCGATCTTGAAAAAAAATCGAGATAAAATCAATCTCGATTAAGGTAAATAATTTCCAGTTATATCCCTAATTGTTGGATTACCGGACCAAAGAAAGAAGAACAGGAGGCTGCCGGAGGATACCTCCATCCAAGTACCTGCAATCGTCGGGATTTCCTCACCGTTTGCTCCTCGCTTCTCATTCATGTTCATAGACCCCACAACAGCGCCACTGCTCCTTCGCATCCCCTTCTTCAGCCTCATCGACCACAGAATCCATCATCGATTGCGAGACGAGAGTATGTGCTCCCTTTTGGATCCGTCGATTGTAAAAGAAGTAGAATCGGTGATGGTGACGGTGTTGATGTCGATGATGAAGTGTTCGGCCGCAAGCATATCTAGGTCAAATATATTTAGTTTAATTCCTTAATTGAATGATTAGTTTATTTCCTTAATTGAATAATTTCAATTAAATAATTTCCTTAAATAAAAGTACAAAATATCCAAAATACCCTTTAATGATTTATTTAATAATTTATTATTTCTTGAATTCTCATTGATGCATTTAGGCACACAATAGTTGCTAAAAACATTTGAACCTAGCTCTCTCTCTCTCTCTCTTTCTCTCTCTCTCTCTCTCTCTCTCTCTATATATATATATATATATATATATATATATATATATATATATATATATATATATATATATAGAGAGAGAGAGAGAGAGAGGTAAAAATTCATTTGAGACGGACATAATTTTATGAGACCGTGAGACCAAAATTTTCTAATGAAATATTCTAATAATCTGTTGATCGTAAAAATATAATATGTAATATATTGTAAAATTATATACAACAATGAGCAAGACAAACACCAAATGCTAGCTTGATTTCGGCTGATAAGTGATTTCGTTTCTTCAAAACCGAAATCTTTATGTTTTTGGGTTTCAAAATCGAAACTCCAAATGCAAAGGTGTAAAATGTTTTGTTTTAATTGTTTGAATTTTGTTGACTTAATTATTTTTGCTGACTCAAAATTTACAATTGTCACAGGAACTTATTAAGTTTTATGTTTACCCATAGTTTACAAATGTTTTTCAGGTTGTTCTAGTGATCGAGACAAGAGCTTGACATAAATATACACTCGTATCAATGGATCGGTGTAGTGATTAGTGAATTAGGGAAACCGTCATACGTTTGATTTACGGGACATTTATAAAACTAATCATATTTCAAGTTGCTATTAAAGAAACCGTATTACATGATTATGTAATCATCAAAATTATTTTTCTTAACAAAAACATATACTTCATATAGCAGTAGTGAAAGTATTATTTTTCTCGATGGTTGCTTCATACAAAGGTGATACCGCGAAGGCATTGAACAATAAAGATACATATAAACCACCATTATCCATGTGGATTATCATATTTTCAGAACCTCTACTTATAGTGGATATTGACAATGTCATTAAGAACATTAGATATTTCCCTAAAGGAATATCGTTTGGGAGAGACGGGTTGAGAACTCAATATATTTTAGATGCTCTTTGTGAAGAATAGTCAGTTATAGTCAAAGACCTCCTACGTTTTATTACATGTGGTTAATCTATGGCTAGGGGGACGATGCTCATTGATTTTGACAGATGTAACACCCCAAATTCTAGAGGTGCTACTGAAGGACTTAAAGTGTAAATTAAGGAAAGGGACTCGACGAGTAGGCGTGCTTACTCGTCGAGTTGGAGCGGGATTCTGTCGAGGGTTAAGTGGCCAACTCGCTGAGTTGGCGGCTTGGACTCGATGAATTGGTGCTAAAGAAAGAAACCCCTAATTCTAGGGGTTATGCCCTATATAAAGCACATTATAACCCACCCTCAGCATCTTTGCTACCCTTTTGAGATCCATAAACCCTAATTTTCGTGTGAGACTCCATTGTTGAGGAAATTAGAGCTTCGAAGAGGAAATTGGTGGAAGGAGCTTGAGAAATTAGAGGCTAGCACCAAGGGGCTTGTGTAGATCTGGGATCTGCATCAGTTTGGGTGCATCTTAGAGTTAAGGAGTCATTATCTTAAGCTATTTCCTTTTTGGTTCATCCTTGGTGGTTGATTGGAGTTCCTTAGCTTGTTTGAGAGCTATTTCGAGTTAGAGGCTTAGATTTGAGGTTGCTACTTCAGATCTAGGCTTGTGATGGTCCAAAATATCATAAAGCTTCTGTTTAGGAGTTGTTAGTGAAGCCCCTAGTCCTTAGACCTATCCCTAGTGTGTTTTGGGCCTATATCTCCTTGGTTTCACGTAAAGTTTGCAACTTTATGTGAGGGTTGGACTGTAGAAGAGTGGATCTATGGATTGGAGCCCCTGCATGGCTCGAAAAGCCACTGTATGAATTAAGAAATGGAGAGACTCAACGAGTCACATGGGTGTACTCGACAAGTTGTATGAACATGTGCATGGACTCGGCGAGTTGGAACAACAACTCGGCGAGTCTGTTGAAGATTGCCTTGGACTCGTCGAGCCTGTTCTTGGACTCGACAAGTCTGGTCGTGGAACCCTAACCTCTTCTGGTTAAGCCTCGAATCGGTGAGTCGAGGGACGACTCTGTGAGTTGAGTAGGATGGACTCGGAGATCGTTGGACTCGATGAGTCTTGGGGCGACTCGGCGAGTTGAGTCATGTTATGGGAGTTTCTGAGTATAGGAACTCGACGAGACGACGGGTCGACTCAGCGAGTAGAATCAACCAGGAAGGTTGACTTTGACTGAGGACTTTGACTTTGACCAATAGTTGACCACTTTGACTTTCAAGGGTATTTTTGTAATTTTGGTATTTATGGAATTGGTTCTTTGGTAGTGTTCTGTGGTGAAGTTTGTGTCGGTGGTTGGAGCAGCTTGGTCTTATCTCTTCAGTCGGCAATTACAGGTGAGTTATCCTCACTATATCGACAGGGTCTACGACACCAAGGCCGACCCTTTATCGGATGGAAATCTAGGTATTGTTTGTTATGTTATTGCTTTGATAGATCTGCATCCTGCTATTTAGGATGATG